AAAGACCCCAGTAGGATCACATGTCCTTGCCTAGGTTGTTGTTATGAGCGTCAGATTGACGCAGTTCAGTTGGAATCTCATTTAAAGAGACATGAAATTGATCAAAGTTATACGTGTTGGACATTACACGGTGAGATAAGTAATGAGAATGTTGAACCGGGGAATAATACGATCTATGCTTCAAATGACAATGGCAGAGATACATATAATTGTGATCGAGTTGAAGAGATTGCAGAAGCACTTGAAGAAGATCTTCAGGATTGTCCCAAGATGTTTGAGAGGTTGGTAAGCGATGTAGAGAAACCGTTGTATAAAGGTTGCACAACTTTCACAAGATTGTATGCGGTATTAAAGTTGTCCAACTTAAAGGCGGGTAATGGATGGTCGGATAAAAGTTTCACAAAGTTATTAGCCCTTATGAAAGAGATGTCGAAGCAATTGCTAAAGAGGATTTGGATCAGATTTTCTAACATTCTGAATTAGGCATCAGTGTTATGCATTCATATATTAGGTACGCCGATCAATTTTAATTAAATAATTGAACAATTTATTTGCTCATTTCAATAAATATTCTAATGTTGATTATGTTTTTATTTAAGGTTCTTGTATGACAAGTTGTTGGTCCCACATCAATTGACAGACAGATTTGCATTCTTATCTTCTAGCTGTATCAACCCACAGTCAATCGATCACACTCCAAATGTAGTCAGAGATTACTTAGTCCAAACATTTATGGCACAAATACAGAGAAGTTGTACTTTTTACCATATAATACTGGCCCTGAGTTAGATTTCATTCTAAATTCATTTATTATAATTATTCTTTTTTTGACATTCTATATAACATTTCCGTCTAAACTTTTGTCTTATTTTACAGTGGACACTGGTTGTTGGTTGCGATTAATCCGATAAAAGAAATAATGTATTGTCTAGACTCATTGGATGATGATCAAACAAAATATCCTGATATGAAGAATATGGTTGATACGTAAGTGATGGGATATATTGTTCAGAATAATTATATTTATTTATTATGTGAGATTGTTCTAAATATTCGTTTATATTATGTTAGAGCTATACAAATATTTCGATCACAAAGACAAACAACAGTGCCAAAAAGGAAGGCTAACAACATTAGCTGGATCAGAGTGCAGATATATTTTCACAATTTTGACTATTATAATTCTACTTGATAAAACTATTTAAACTATATATCCTGATATATATTCATTTTTTTCCATTTACATTGTCCTCGTCAGTGCAATGGGATTGATTGTGGATATTTTGTATTGAGGTTTATGAAGGAAATTATTTATTCGGGTCAAATAGAGATTCCAAACAGGGTATGAATTTATAAGTTATATGATTTATTTTAATATTTAACCGATATTTCATCTGAGTAATTAATTTTAAAACTAAATCATGCATATTATGTTATATTATGTAGTACTTTGATGAATTCAAGTGTGATACTTACTCGAAAGACAAATTGGACGAAATTAAGGAGGAATGATGTCAATACATTCTTGAATTGGGAATTGTATAAGGTATATATATTGTCTTTCTGTCTTTTGATTGGAGTTTATAGAGATTTGTGTTGTTGTGATGTTATGTACATACTACTGGATAATTATATTTCTGGAAGTCGTATGTAGTTTTGGAATTTGTTGATATACTTTGATCTAGAAGTTAGTTGTTGTGAGGATCCGAAAATATAGAATTTGTAATTATATGTATAGTGAATGTATTTGTGAAGTTATCAGTTTTGTAATTATATGTATAGTTAATGTATTTGTGAAGTTGTTGTGAGGATCGGCTTGTGTTGAATTACAATGATTATAAGCAGGTTTATGTGTTGAATTACAATGATTGTGGTATATATAATGCCAAAGTGTTGAAATAAAGGTTTGTGGTGAATGTAATTGTTATAAGCAGGTTTGTGGTGAATGTAATTGTTATAAGCAGGTTTATGGAAAAAATTATAAAAAATGGTGCAACATAATTCAACAAAAATCACTTCATAAAAATATGAAAAATAGACAGCGCTTTTACCAAAAAACGCTATGAAAAAGTGACTTTTAAAAAAAATTCAATAATATGAAGAAAAGACATTGCTTTTCTTGAGAAAGCACTGCTAAAAGGGAGGGAAAAGAGAGCGCTTCTGAAAGCGCTGCTATAGGGGGGGAAAAGGGGGGGAAAAGATAGCACTTAAAAAAGCTCTACTAAAGATGGGAGAATAGGCAGCACTTTTATTAAGAAAAGCGCTGCTAAAGGTATTCAGTAAATACACTTTAGGCAACGCTTTTTAAAAGCGCTACTAAAAGTGGGGGAATAGAGAGCGCTTTTTTGAAAAAGCGCTGCTAAAAGGTATTCAGCAAATACACTTTATACACGCTTTTCAAAAGCGTTGCTAAAGGTGGGGGGAAAAGAGAGCGTTTTCTGGAAAAACGCTGCTAAAAGTGGGCCTATAGCATCGCTTTTTACTTAAAAAAGGCGTTGCCTTTACCTTTAGCAGCGCCACTTTAGGCATCGCTTTTAAGGGCTGCTAAAGGCCAAAAAAGCGTTGCTAAAGGTCTTTTTGGTATAGTGAGATAATCTCAATCCAGAGAATCTTCCTTTGGTCTGGCTCGAAGGATAAAACTGGTTTGGCATGGGTAAGTTGGAGTTCAATTTGCAAGCCTAAGGAGGAGGGTGGCTTAGGTTTGAAAGATGTTAGGCTATTCAACAAAGCATTACTAGCTAAGTGGCTTTGGATATTTATCATAGAAAAGGAAGCTATTTGGGTGGGGATATTGAATAGAGATATGGTGATTATGCCAAAAGGTTACTTGCTAAAGAGGCTTCGCTGCCAAATCCACATCAATCGTTATGGTGGAAAGATGTGATGAAGAGTAGTGATAATACGGGGACAACTGAATTTGTTGACCTGATTTCAACCAGATTAGGTGATGGTGATAACATTCCATTTTGGTATGCTAGATGGTTAGGCAACTCAACTTTACAGGCTTTATTCTGGACTGTGAGAATTTTTTGATAGAAAGTAAGTGAGGGTGAAAGGCATGGGAGTGTGGGTTGGACAAGCTTGGAACTGACATCTGAGTTTCAGTAATCTGGAAGAGTTTCCCATACTGGTGGAAGCATACAATGAATTGGTCTATTTACTGCAGGATGTACGCCCTAAACAGGATGTTGCTGATTCTGTCATTTGGTCTTTTGGACTGTCCATTCATTTCACTGTAAAATCATTTTATGACAGACTATTGGTCACGAGAGGGAGTAGTATGGACATAACTTTGAAGGGAGCATTGGGGTTTATGTGAAAAACATATAATGCATTAAAAGTAAAGATATTTGGTTGGAGAATGTTAATTGATAGGTTCTCTACACGTTGTAATCTGCTCGACGAGGAATACTTACAAATCCATATGAACTGGTATGTGTATTTTGCTTTGGACCCATAGAAGACATTACTCATGTTGTCTATGAATGCATTAGGATTAAGGTAATGTGGAGGAAGATGTCTGATTGGTTAGGGATTGAGAGTATTAATGAAATGCATCGTTGTTCTCATTTACTGTCATGGATAGAGAGGTTGAGGGGAAGACGTTCCCACAAATTTGCATGTGAGTTGTGAATTGTGGTTTGTTAGTGCGTTTGGTGGTCAAGAAATCAAATTATCTTCAACGATGAAATGGAGGATCCAAAGCTTATTGTGCAGAGAATTTTGTTCGTTTCGTGGCAATGGTTAGCATCACGATCAAAATGTGAAAGATTTTATAATTATTATGAATTATGTAAATATCCTTTAGATTTTTTCTAGTTGATCTAAATTGTATAACTTGTTGTTGAACGGTTTTATATCGGGTGGGATACCCCTAATATCCCGGATAGAATAACTAATACACTTATAAAAAAAACTATAATGTAAAACTATGATTTATAATGTCTCAATGAATAATAAATAGGGTCATGTTAACCAGTACCCTCAGGGCACTAGTTAAGAATTCCAAATAAGGAAAATATGTTATATTTAGTTCACTCAATACACACAATATTCTTTAAAAAGTCTGATTATTTCTCTTTTCAGAGCATTGAATACACATGTATTTAAAAAAAATGTATTTTCAATCTCTTAAATAATGTCCAACTTACCATTTTAATCTCTTAACCAATGCCCTGAAGGCACTCGTTAGCATTTCCCTAATAAATAAATCAAATTGTTATCTGTCTAGAAAAAGGGCACTTCATCCCTCATTTCAAACGTTTTTTTTTTAAGTTTAGACATTTCTTAAAACATAATGAATAATTATGTTAATTATAAATTAAGCTTTATTTATTAGAACATTTCTTAAAATATAATGAGTAATTGTCAACATTTTAAGCTATTACATTTTCATTAAATGGATTTTTAAAAAAATGAACAATCAAATACTGCAAAATAAAATTTGCTCATAGAAAAAAAAATCAGCTTTATCATCTATACTTAATAAAATAATAAAAAAGCTATCAACTAAACTTATTGTTCTCCTAAAGCAGATTATAACACAACAAACCATCATTGCAATATTTTCATATCAGCACACAAAAAAACATCCAAAATTCTGTTAACAATCACATTTGACAGTAAATATATAGTGAAAAACTCATCAATAAGTTTTTTTTATTAAATATATATATGTATGCTATATATAACATATGAATGATCAAAATTACAAAAATTGTAACCCAATCTCAAAATGCTGATGGGTGAAAAACTCCACCACATAAGAAATCTCAAATAAAAAATCATGTAAATGAAAAAAAAAATCAATAGACATAAACCTTCTAATTCTTAATATAAAAAAAAAAAATTATTTTTTAAATTCACTAGAGAATCAATATATCTGAAATACATATAATTCAGATATATTGATTTTTTAATAAATCTAAAAAAAATAACTTTTTATTATATTAAGTAGCAGAAGATTACTATATAGTATATCTATATATGCAGTAAAGAATTCAAAACTTAAACCTAAACTTACAACTACTGCTTCTAATTCTAATAGAATTATTTGCACTAAGATTATCCACCACAATCCTACACCTAACCCTGAAATTAATCTTAAAAATCTTCAACTTTCCAAACTTAATCCTCACAGGTTGTTTCACCTTCAAATTAAGAGGAACACTCCCCTCTTGCAGAAACTGTTGCTGCAAAGAATCTCTCAAACCTGTTGCATTCTGTGTCTCTCCAGTCAAAGGTATACTAAGAACCGTAACATTTTTGTGACCTTGGTAGAATTTAGGTAATGATCCTTCACATAGTTTTGTGTCTGTGTACCAAGCACTTATGTGACTTCCACCTCGATAATCAATCCCGATCTTCTTGTTTGGATTTCTTGCAGTGATTGAGAGGTTGAATGTCACTGATAAGCTGTTGTTGTTTGAGAGATCGAACCGCGTGACGCGGAGTTCGTCGACGGAGTACTTTGGGATCTTTGGACGGAAAGCGAGGAAGAGGATTCCGATTGCGACCGCGATTGCGATGATGAGAATCAATAGGATGCTGAATAGCCAACAGAAGAATCTGCAGCAACAGCTTCTTCTTTTCTTTGGTGATTTTGGATGATGATTCATAGGAATACCAGGTTGTTGTTGTTGTTGTTGATGTTGAACATCATCGGATTTTGACATGTTTCTTGTTACTAAAGGAGCTGAAGGTTGTTGTTGTTGTGGTGGTGGTGGTGTTTCAAGATCAACATCATGAAACGGATGAATTTTCTGATGATCTGTCATGTTTTTTTCTTGTATGTTAATGAAATGAGAAATGATTTGTATGAATGTTTGTTTTTCTTCTTCTTTTGTTTTGTGTTTGTTTATATATAGAAATAGTTGTTGAAAAGTTGAAGTAATGAAGGTTCCTATTGTTGACTTATGGAAGAGGATGAAGTAAAAATATTAAAATAGTTTAGTATTATTATTTAAAGGGTAAGTTTTGGTGTTTGAATCATGCAGGCACCAAATACGAAAAGTGAAGTATTCAATTCAAAGTTTGTGTGTGGATGAATTGAAAAATGTGATTAATAGCGGCCGAAGCATCTTTCTTTAGGTTTTTTGCTTTTTCATTCCTTCAATCCGTGTATGGAACTTGTTTTGTGACGTGGTAGTAAAATGGTGTGTTTCTAGATCTTTAGTTTTGTCTTCTTCATTCAACTACTCCATCAAGAAAAAAAGTATACGTCATCCATATCCGATACCTTATTTGTTTGACAATTAGATAATTAAAATTGAAAATAATAAATGATATTATATAAACAAGTTAATAAAGTTTATTTATATAAATATAACAATTATTGTTTGATAGAGAAGGAAATAGATGATTTGGTATGAATTAGTATATAACAATTAATTCAAAACTCTGAAAACAAAAATTAAACCATAGAATAAGTTAAAGTTAAAAGATCTTAAAATTATTTTTTATTCAAATGTTTAGTTCTTCAAGAGTTTTATCCATTGATTAAATAGATTAAATAGCTGGATGAAAAATTAGTTTAGAAAACTTTTAGTTAATTTTAATATTTTTATAGATTAAACTGATCATTAAATTATTATCACCAAATCTTTAAGCATAAGGTGTGCCCAAAAAAACTCGTACAAAAGACATATGCTTGTAATAGTAAATACACAAGACAACACAACATTAACCACCACTTGGTAAATATCTAACAATCTTGGTTGGAAGAGGCATCATATCCAACAATGTTGATTTGCATAGCCTTTTGCTGGATTACTTTGTTGAGACGAAACCACGCTTTGTTTTAAGATAGAGTCTTTAATCTAGATAAAGTTGGTGGAAATGGTCCAATGATGAATATTCAATTTAAGAAGCATGTTCATCAATAATGGATACGCTTGTGTAGTTGCCTGCAGTAAACTAGCCCCAACAAAGACTTAGTATTGGCATGGAGGCTTTTGCAAAATAAAATCCCATCTAGGGAAAATTTAATCAAAAGAGGCTCCTTAGATGGATCTCAAAATGCCAGATATAGGCATGGTAGATTGTGCATGTACTATGAACTAAACGATTCAGTTTGTTATGGAACTTCATTCTCAATTTTTGAAGCTCTGTTTCTAGTAATTATGACAAGTATATATGTAAGCGGAAAAATTCACCAATTAAATATATAAAATTAAAACATCAACACTTATTTGTTGAGAATTTTTTTTTAAAGTAGCAATGTTATAATTTTTATTTACCAAACAAATTATAGTTTCAAAAATATTATCAAAATAGCAAGGTTTGGAATTGGTTCAACGTGCATTTGCCAATTCGTTTGGCGAATTAGGCCAAACAAGCAACATATCATTTTCAAGGGATTCGCCATTTGATTTGGCGAAAGTGTGTATTTGGGAACGGGTTAGCCCATGCAATTGATGAATCAGGGTTCTTGCATTTTTTATATTTTGCTTTTAATTATCATATAATATATTTTCGTTTTCATATTTACAGTTTTAAAATTTAATTGTTTTTTTATTTTAATTATTATTATTATTAACCATAAAATATATTAATTTATAATCTAATTAATATTAATATAATTTATAATATAATTAAAAATACACGAACAAAAATATAAATATAATGAAAATTACAAAAAAAAAACCCTAATTAATATTAATTTATAATATAATTTATATTTTGATTTTGATTTTAATTATTTTTATATTATTAATAAACTTAAAAAAATTAAGTTTAAAAGTTTAAATTATTTTATGAAATTATAAATTTAAAATAAATTGGTTTGCTTGCTAAATTGCCCAACTTGGGTTTTAAACTTCCCTTATATATTTTTGGGGTGGCATTCATCAATGGATGTATAGCCACCCCAGTGGTAATCACTTTGTCATCAAATGCGTATTTCACCTTGCTAGCCTAGGTTCAATCCCTGAGGAGGATCAATCCTTTTGTATATTATGTTTTTGCTTTTTTTTGCATTTTATTTTCACTTGTTGTGATTTATTTGCGCACTAACTTATCACTTTTTAATTATCATTTTTTTTGCCTATAAATACGAGCTCAAACACATGTTTGTTTTCACAACATTATTTCCTAAAAGACTAAAGTGGTAGTGCGGTTTTGAGTTGAGTGGAGTCCATAATGTCTGCATTTCTAAATCAACGTTCTTCTTCTTCGCCATCAGCATCGGAGGAACCTTTTCCAACGTTTGATATAATGAAAAGAAATGCCCTTGTGGTGTTTTCAGCAACAAAGCCTCCGATGAAGGTGCTCCTGTGGAATACGCAGACGTTGGAGCACTTGCACAGGGAACTGAACCGCTGGCTAGAAGGGGATATTGCTCCAGGAGAAAAGATTAGGAAAATTGAGAGGTTGGTGGAGAAGACCGATAGAAACGGAGTTACTCGTGAATGGAGAAAAGTGGAAAATGATGCCGGCGTCCTTGTGATGATGTTGACACCAAAGGAGATAAAGTTGATGGTCGTGATATCGTAGACGCTCTGTTCCAGTGTTTTGTTTTATGTCTTTACTTTGTTGTTATGTTTGTTTAATTTATGAAAGTTAACTGTGCTTGTAATAGAAGGAAATTTGCAGTTACTTCTGCTTGTAATAGAATGAAATTTGATTTTAATCAAATGAAAGTTACTATTGAATTAAATGGACACGTTTACAAATGAAACTATGATCTGCTGCTTGGTCCTACGTTTAGACATGTCGTACGATTGTGTCCTGGTTGCCGACACGAACTACACAATCTCACTAGCTTATCCGAGGTATCCATCTCTGTTCGTATGCGCGTGCTGTTAGGCCGACCCTTCTTTTTTCTGCGCATCAAGTCATTATGCCAAACAATTTGGCCTTCGTATTTCGGCCAATAGTCTTCCTTTGCCAACACCTGAAAACTGCATGAGTAGACATTGCATAGACTTATGACTTGGTGAACTGCAGAAAGAAGGTTGGTTGGGTCCTGGCGCGCCTTCGAACAAGCTGCTATGACATGAGAGCAAGGCATACAGAATGCTTGAAACTTTCCACAATCACACCAGCTCTTATCTAATTCAACACGATAACATCCCCTGGGCCTTCCTTCATTGTGATCTATAGCCTCAGCAATACTGAACCAACCAGCTGTACGGTCAAATATTATGACCACGTGGGTGTTGGCTTTGCCAGCTTCGTCTTTCATGAATTTCATTGCAGTATCGCTGTACAGCTGACCCGATTGTAATACTGAACCCCACTTCGCACGTCTGCTATCAAAAAGTGATCCCATCCTAAAATAGGTTGCCTTTACCAAAGCAGTTATTGGGAGGTTTTGAATTCCCTTGAAAACAGAATTCATTGACTCGACGAGGTTGGTTGTCATGTGGCCCCATCGCACCCCATTGTCGTATGCCCGCGTCCATTTCTCCCTATCAATGCCATCAATCCATCTTAATGCATCCGCGTTGTTCAGTCTGATCTCGTCACGGTAGTATCTGAATGTTGGTTCAGTTAGTGCATACCCCGCGTTAATAACCTTCTTCCGCAGCGTCCTGTCTTTGATATCCCTCATGAAATTTTGGGCTATATGCCTTATGCAATAGACGTGGGTCGATGGAGGATCCTGCCAACCGTTGTCATGGTTGTTGTAAGCACTCTCGATGGATGGGTGTCGATTGGAGATCAAACATAAGTTAGGTTGGGGAGACACGTAAGAGCGTAGGTTTTTTAAGAAAAAACTCCAACCCCCAGCAGTCTCCCCTTCAACTATGGTGAAGGCTATCGGGAAAATGTTGTTGTTCCCGTCTTGTGCCACAACCATCAGAAGTGTGCCCTTATATTTCCCGTAAAGCCAGGTTTCATCAATTTGAATTATAGGTTTACAAAATGCAAACCCTTTGATGCATGGTTCGAACGCCCAAAAGACTCTGTGGAAAATTCCATTTCCAGCAACATAACTCCCGTCTGGTGTACAAGCAGGCATCGTCTCCAATATCGCAACAGTTCCTGAAGAGTAGTGTTTAAGGGCTACTAGGAATTTAGGAAGTTCCTTGTATGACTCCTCCCAATTTCCAAACACCATTTCAACAGCTTTATTCCTGGCTATCCAGGCTTTTCGGTACGAAGGAGTGTAGTTGTACCTTTGTACCATATGTGCAATTATGGTACTCACCTTCAATGATGGGTTGTCGCTGACGACTGATAGAATCTCATCACAAATCAACTTAGAGTTGAGTTTGCGATGGTCTTGCATCGGATTCGAGATTATACAGCTGTGGGACGGACCCATTGATCCTATCTTCCAGGAATCGCTTCTCTTCCTGAAAGATGCTGTTAATTTGAACGGGCACTCCTCGTTTCGGCAATAGATCATATACCGCGTTGGATTTGAGTGATCAACTCTGTAATCGGCTGACAATTCCATGTGAAACTGTTTGATAGCCTGAACACAATCTTGTTTCGTACGAAACTCGTCACCCTCTTTAAGTTGGCCCCGTGTTGTGTAGTTGGGGTTGTAGAAAACATCCGTTGGGGGTTCATCATCAACTAAGGTGATATCAGTCATGTGTTTTGGTGGACAATAGACATGGTCAGGTTGAACTTCATCCTCCAGATTGTTCACCATCTCGTCAACAATGACTTCAGTTGCTTCTTCTTCTTCGTCAACGACATTGACTTCGGGGTGTTCATCTTCAGAATCGCAAAAAACTTGTGACGAATCAAGTTGCTGAGACAGTTGTTGTTGTTGTAACGTAACGTATACCATGATTTCTGAGAACCCTGAATACTCGTGAGT